GCTAAGGCAAGCAAGCTTTAGAGGCCACACGTGAAGTAACCAAGGTTATGCAGGGCGAGTGGCACAGTCTAAAGTAACCCACATTTGCCCTGACTCCTGATTCACTTTTGGAATGCTGGTTCAAGTTGCTGCCTACCAATCAATGTGCATAATTCTATCCTTAGTTGTTTGTTGATTTACTCAATGAATTGCAGTGTAGCACTCATTAGTTGAGATCCTTACACAGTATCTATAAAATTATCTAGATTCTTAGCTAGTACATACTGGCACAGTTGAATCACATTCAATTAGTCTAAACTAATTTACACCAGAGGTTTCAAAATTCAATAAAGGTATGGGAAAATGCCCTTTTGAGTGATAATTCTGTTTCTTGGTGCACATGGTTCTTTCATAGTCCTAATTCTAACAAAGTGCTAAGAGAAGCCAAATTAATTTTTGTTTTGTTCCATTTTTAAATTGGAAACTCTTTTTTTTCCTTCACAAATTGTCTGTTATTATTATTCATTATATGTCCTTTGATGAAAAATGATACATGAAGAATGGTTTCTATTACTGAATTATTTTTGCACATCATGCTTAATTTTGCAAATGAAGCAGATAAAGTCAATGAGGCTCAGTTAAGGACCAAAACTAATTCTGAAAGCTAATTATTTTCACAAGGGAAACTCCTGAAGATTATAAATTACAAGATTGCTATTCTAAGAAGTTTTGTCTTCAGCTGAGTTAGTTGCATCTTCAGGAGTGAAAGAGGAAGAGGGACCGGCCTGAGACCAACCTGTTCCCCAGCTGAAGGTCTAGCTGTTCAACTGGAGTTGCATAGCTATTTTCAAAACAGGCCAAAGTTTTTGTTTTCTTATGTGCTTTTTAAACAAAACTGCATCCATGTTACCACTTTGAATGCAGAAATAAAGGGAAGCACAAGACTCAGAATGTTTCCCATTGAAATGTTTTCATTACCTTGGTGACTGAGATCAGCCTTTGTGTGGAGACTTACTTCAAAGACACTTTATTAATGTTGCAAACAAATTATATGAGTCAGAACCACTCCTAGGTTAAAGTCTGATCACCTGTGATCCACTGAACTAAAAATAGACTTGATGCAATAGGAAAGGCAGAAAAGCCACTTCTCCAATCTCAAAGTGAGTGTCCTGAGTGATCTGCAGTTCACAGATCCCCTTGGGACCATGTGAGGACCAGAAACATCATGAGGTCTATCACTGGAGAGCAGTGTCCAATCCTAATGTGAATTTGGCCCTTTAGCTGTGTGTAACCTGCTCATTGTTCTCAAATACTGATGTTTGTAAACCATTGTGCGTGGTTTCTATTTCAGATAATTTTTATAAGTACAGAAATGCATTTTTCTGCCTCTTTTTATAAAGTCTGTATGTCTATTTAAAAAATAATTGGACTTTCCACGTAAAGAGAAATGAAAATATTGCACCAAGCCAGCAAACATTTTAAAAACATGTCTGAATGCATCTGTTCTTCCCTCAGAAGTGTGTGTTAGGAATTTCCAGAGCTGCCTGAGGAAGGCAGATGTCTCATTCTCACAAGAACTTCTGGTGCTTTTGAAGGTCTCAGGCTGTTATTAATTTTTTTAATTGTTCAGATTCCACAAAGACCCAGGCAAAAAAGCTGCACCCCAAAAGCCACTGTGAGAGCATGTAATTAATTGAGCCAAGGAAATGTGCTGTATAGTCTGAGCAGTATGAAGAGTTCTGCCTGTTTTGACACTTTGCATGTAGTCCTGGAACAGTGATGGCTATTTCAAGCTTCTGCTGAGATACTGATGGTTTCGGGCAGAAATAATTTTATTCTGAGTTGCATTTGTACAGGATGTAGTACAATGAGATGCTCATTCATGATCAGGTAACAATGCAATACAGTAATAATAAACTTCAGTCGTGACTCTTTCTCTCTGCCTTTCTTCCTTTTCCTTACTACTTCACTCTTACTGCCTCTCCCCTCCCTATTATTCCTTTTCATCGGCTCACCAGACAAGAATATTGGTTGAGCTTTCTCTCACACACTTGACTTGCCTGCTGGGAGGCTGCCACAGCACCTCTCACCTGTAATGTCCCTGCCAGTGCTGTCGTTTTTCCCTCTTCACTCTGCGCCACAGGAGTCCTCAGACAGGCCAGGTGAGATCTCGGTGTTCCTTCATGTCACTGCTGCCCAACAAAGTCTCTGATCCCTTCTCATTTTGACTTTCTCGAGGTTCTCCTATTCTTCCATTTCTTGACCAAATCCTTGATGAAACCATTCTCCAATACTAGATAGCAACATTTGCTAGCTGCATTCTCAGTTATACATCACATTAAGCCTCTTTTTGTATAGAAGGCATCATGTATGGTTTTTACCTCTACTGTTTCCATGACAGTTTTATGCAGCTATCACAATGTGTGGAAAAGGCATGACACAATGTAGTTGGCTCTTTTCTTCAGTTTACTGTCTTGTGGTTGTCTTTTTTCATAGGCTCAGCTGCCCCAGCAGCATCAGGGTCTCAGAGCACAAAGGAAGATAATTCCAGCAGAAATTACGGAGGAGAGTTGTTAGGTCATGTTTGGGACTGGAAATAGCCGGGATATTTTTCCCGTTATTTCCATGAGCCGTTAATGTACCTGGTTTACAGTGTAGCAATCTGCATCTGTTGCTCCAGTTTTAAAGTTGAAGCACTCTTTATAGCCATCAATCTTAGTTATTAATATGCTCAAATTCTTAAAGAGGGATATAATTCGCTTTCCAGGCTTTCTTCATATACTGCACATCCTTGTGTCACCATCCCTGCTGCTCTGAGCTCAGCAGATGGCTCTTTGTAAGCAGGTGGTATTTTTTCTTGCTGTTGGAAGAAATATATGTACTGCTCATTCTGGCACCCATGAAAAAAATGTAAACTTTAAAGAGATATATTAAAAAATATAAATAAAATGCCTGTAAGAGTTATTGCCAAATTGATATTGGACCAAAGGCACCTATTCAAGTGATCATCAGCCAGAAATGAAGTGTGTAAGCCAAGAGTATTGAAAGAAGCATTAAGAATGTTAAAAAAATAAAAGAGGCAGATAAATCTCATACTGTGATGAATGATAGCCAAGGAACATCTAATCATGTCTGGGTAGCATTTACTGAAATAACTCAACCAGACAAAAATGAAGAACATGAAAAAGATGGTGTAAAAATTATTGGAATGTTCTTTTTTTCTGACAATTTTTCATTAATCTTCAAGAAGGAATAAGGATTTATTTAAAACAAATTAAATTAAGTGGTGAGCACTAGAATACCATTCCTCTTGATCTTGGTATGGCTATAAAAACACAATGTTCTCAGCAACTGCATAATAAGGGTTATGGGGTGGGGGTATTTCTTCTCAGTTTTACAGCCACCTCTCCATAATAAACCAACATACAAGACAGTGGCTATCTTCATTTGCAAAATTGCTCACTGCTGTAAGAAAATGTGAAATACATGAAACATCTGGCAATGAACATACAAAAGACACACAGCAAACTGTCAACACCATGTCTCTAGGCTTCCATTGCTTGATTAATCTACCTGGATTTATTTATCTTTTAATGGCAACGTGCCCAGAACTTCTTGGATATGGAGCGATATGGAGAAAGTGGCTCTGTGCAGGTTGTGACTGGCTGTTTACCAACAGATTGGACCAAAGCTTGGCTTCTTCACTATACAAATACAGATTTCCTGGTAGTCTTATCTCAGCAGATGCTCATCTTTTCTGTTGTGTCCTTTAAGGAGGAATAGCCTGCTTCATTTCTGCTAGAGCTCTATTCTTGTCATCAGAGTTATGGCAAAATAATCTAGTGATCTAAAAGCTCTGTGGAATGTTTGTCCGATAAAAGAGAGAATATAAAAGCATGTTCTCTCTGTGTGTATCCCATAAGAATAGATGGAACATGCATTTTATTTAAGCCACACTCTGTAGTCAGTAAACACTTTCAGATTTGAGCTGGTTCTGGTACATGCTTAAGGATTAGGGAGGATTAGCCAACTTGAAACTCAGAGCTGGATGAAGTGAAATTTGGTTTTAGGACTTGAAATTTAAGTGCAAGCTGGGGTAAGGGCTTAAACTATTCATTTTGATTCAGGTGTATCACGTTATGAACATGCCCTAGGATCATGGAGCTGGCCACTCAACAAGCAAAAAGTTATTTGTTGTGAGCAAATGAGTGGTGACAATTTAAATGCTTCTCTTTGCTTGAATACTAAATGGAGTTCATTGATGTGCTGTTGATGGCTGATGTACTTGTTGCTATTCGTTATTGCTAGCCAATAGTACTGACAGATGTATTCAGCTTTTACAAACTCCCTCTTCATAAGGTGATAGGAAATTTTGCTTGGAAAGTCTAGTTCCTCTGCAAAATCTTTGCTTTGTGTGCAGCTCTATTTCCTACCCACCTATTGGCAATCTAAACCGACGCTCAAGAAACAAATTAATTTCTTGTGTTCTCCTTTTTTCCAGATTGCAGAAACACTGATCCAGAAACTGAACCAAAACCTGGTCCATTTTGAGTTGAAGCCAGGGGTTCGAATCCTTGTCCATGCTGCTCATTTAACAACAGGTCAGTGTCCTCTCCCTGTGTACACGCTCTCTGTTGCTCTGTAGCAGAGCAAGCAATATATTCCTTGATGGTAGTAGTGTGCCAACAGCTGTATTTGAAACATTTCTTATTTTTATGTCGCAATAACAACACAGTGTATAGGCAGACATTAAAATGCCTTCTTCACCTCCCCTTTCTTTGTCATGCTAAAAAGATATAGTGGCTTTTGCATTTACAGCTAATCCTCTTGTTTACTTATGTGCAAGAATTTGCTGCTGTTGTTGGAAATGCAGTATAAGTAGCAGGAGAAATACTTCTTGGCTGTCTCTGAAATATTCAACAGCCGAGCAGCACCATGGCGTATTCAGCCTGGATCACACAATGCAAAGGTTACCAGCTAGCCTTGGGTATATTTGGATATTCTAGAGTCAACGAACATTCCAAGCAACTAAGCACAGT